CACATCAGTATAGTTTTAATATTACGTATTGACAATCTTGTGCACCCGTATAAGTGCTATAATCTCTACGTAGACCGACCCGTAAACGGCAATCTTTTGATGTACGAAAGGAGTGAATCGCATTATCGTTGAAGCAAACAAACAAAACATGATTATCAAATAAACGTTCATTTAGGACTTACTTACTATCATGTGCATTACTTATTAATTCTTGTTTCCATTAACTCCGACCTATGATCTGACTCCCTATAAATAATGATATGATGGAGCACATAAAGTATCAAACATACCCGGAAACTGACAAACACTGTTAAACAGGGCCTCAATATTGACAATAATTGCCTTTCCACTTCGTCGAAGGACTCATTATTACTCGGACACTTTAGTGATTTTGACAAATAGTGTGTTACGTGACTCAACTATGCTAATTCCAAACCACCTGTTTTTGGCTTGTTATCATTTGTTTTATTACATGCATTTTATGAAATAGCTTGTAGCTACAAAAGCTTATACCATTTTTAGCCAATCTAAAAAATGCGGCTGCTTAGCATATAATTTTGACTGGCGCATCCGCTTCTAAATTTAGCATATTTTATGAAGAGTGTGCCGAAACATTGTTATTCAATGTCTAAATTATTCTCAAACATATTGTAAACCACTTGTTAAAATATAAACAAATATTTAGTAAGACTTTATTATGCTATGCTTGAGTAAACGTTAGGTTTGTAACAAATATTGACGACACCTCCGAAAAACAACGTGAACGTCTAACTGTCAGTAACCGCGTGACGGCGCCCTTTAATATTTTGGTCTATTTTCGAATGTTCAAAAGCAAATAAATTGTTTCATTTGGTAGTTGTATATATTTTGATATTCCGTTTGTGGCCACGTGTATTATAGATAGAGTGCGTCAGTTTTACCCTCCCTATTTCACAATTGGTTTTGAGTTTTGAAATATTGATTTTTGTGTATGCCATCACTTGATGCATGCGCATCTAACGATTTAAAGTTTATTTACGCCACCGCTTTATAATTGCACTTAGTTAATTATGAAATTAGGATGCTATTTTTTGAATATTCAACTGAGGATGTCAACTCGTTCATTAAAGAACGCCACCATGCGGCCACTGATAGTTAACGGTCACTTTGAAAGCATTGTCTTATCTCTTCTCATACAACAAAGTACAACATACTTACATAACGTGAGAATCATGCCAGGTGCGGCAACATATATGCAGTCCGGCGAACCATTTATATACAAAGACCAAACACATACTAAAATGACTGCAATTTCATTGCATGTAGTGCTCAAATTTACGGCATAATAGTAATTTAAAAATTGAATTAGGTTTCTACATCCCGAAAGCCCGGTATGGGATGTGAAAAACATTGATACAAATGGCATTACTGGGGAAAGGAAATAGAAAAAAAAACTTAAAAGTCAACGACAACAACATCAAATTGAAAAACGCAATCATCCTCTTTCAATAGCACGCCGACCGCCCAGGAAAAGCAAGAAATTTGGACAAAATAAGTCCTGGAAACCTGTACCAAGCGCACTGTCTGGCGTGCCCGAGGGAAGGTGACGGGTATCACCACCGGGTATCACAACGAAACATAAAATAATTACAAACGAATCAAATTGAAAACTGCACTGCACTGTAAGGAGACTGGTCTAGCCTGGTATTCAAATCATCTGTCTCACACTAAAATACCCCGACGTAGTCATGCCTGTTTCCCACCACGAACAGACAATACATCACCCCTTTACTGCGAAACGCGGAAAGCAATATATTTAGGCTCGCCACATCCAACGAAGTCAGAAGCAGATAACGAACGATTTTACACCTTCCGATTCAAATTATTAGATAATTATATTCTCATGTAGTTGCTCCTATCATTTTTAAATGTCGTTAACGAAAATGACGGTAACCCAAAGCTATGTGTTAATACTATGGTATTAAAAACTCTCTCTTTAAATTGTCAGCTCGCCCTTTGGTCTACGTCGAAGGTAATATTGCGCGCCATTCTTTATTCCCGGTCCCAGAGGTTTTTGCGTTTATCCAGCGCGTGCTTTCGATCCATGACAAATTTGCATATTCATCAGGACAGCTTCGATTTCCAGAGAAATTTTTCATTGCTCCTCATTGGACCGAAATACTGGGTTGTGATCAGCATCACAGGTGGTGCATCTTTACGCACACCAGACTATATTTTTTTTTCTTTTTTTTTTTTTGTTTGAAGTCCGAGAACGATTTTGTTTAGATTTGATAGCGGACACAATTTTAAATTAAAAAAATGAATTATTGCACGACTGTTAAAGAATTTAACTTTTTAAATAATCGCTCTCCGATCTCTGCGGGATTTCGCGTTATGCATCATAAAATCGAAGAGGAAAATTCGATATTCACTTCGCACTTCTACCATGGATAAAATTCGTCATCTTACAACGGGATATGTGCGTTTGTTCACGTGAGCTTTTGGTAATATTAATATGCTTTATTTTAGTTCCCGCCTGCCAAATTTTACAGTTATAAATTTATTTATTTGTAGTGCGACAAACCGTCTGTACCCCCCCCCCCACACACACACACACACCCTCCACTGGCGCGAAGCCACAATCTGAATAAAATAAAAAAAAAATTATTTCATTTTCATATTTTTATTGTTATTTTTTGTTTATTCATAAATATGTTTGAATTTTAATCAGATTGAGTCGGAAAGGCGCAAAATAATGGTCGTTACGATGGGTAAAGAGAAAAGATCTCACGCTATGCTGTGAACCAAACGTAACACTAACAAACAAAATACATGTGCCATAGTGAATTCCGAGAGTTGTTTGGTGGCAAAAATCTCCCCGCTCTCTCACCAAAATCTATTTATATACCCGTTTAACTGAGTAGAGAAATAAAATTGTCTTCTCAAAATCTCCCCGCCCATTAAACAATGGATTATTTTCCCGCCCATTCGCAAAACCTAACTCGATCAGCTTTTTACACGAACGGCTTTGCTGACTGCTTCCACATGGTACAATGTACATTTACATAAGGTAAGGTACATGCCGGGTGCGGCCACATATAAGAACGGGTAAAGGCGCTTAAACCTATACACCTACGTTTTGGGAAACTAACAAACAACGACTCAATCTTTGGCAACCATGGCGTTTCCAACATCTATCACCCACATCAGCTTCGGCCATGGCAGTTGCACCACATACCGACGTTGCTTAACCATCATCTCCGTGATCTCGAAGGCGCTCGACATTCGTCTCGTCACGGTTACTAACCGTGGTCTCGTTCGCTCAGGTGTAACTCAATTTTTAATTTTTTTTTGTATGAGCATACAAATATTGTCTGACCTAACGACAAATGGCCTAAAAGTAAATTCTGGTGACGTGAGTCCAATGGATGCAGCACCCGGCCGACATACATGCGCAGCCATTTACTTGGCACGTGAATCACTGTATTACACTGTCTGTACTATGCTGCTTTACTCTGAGGATTAAGAAATAACGCGTGACTGTTGTAGATAATAACACAGCAACTGGCTAATCATGAACTGACTTCATCGAACCTCAAAAAAACCGAGAATCTCAACGCAATCATACAACAATTTATATATTTAACAAAACTGTACATAATGAAGCGACTTCGACATTTCTGCAGAAACGGGGTCTTACCCAGATTTAATAAAATTATGCTGAGAACTCTTGGTGGTAGCTCTAATGGACTAACAATAAAAGTTTGGACCAGCGTAACTTTCGTGTCTGGTGAAAACTGATAAAGAAACTTTACATTCTAACAAATGTGCAGAGAAAATGGCAAAATTAACTCCTCTTTGTCTAGAATGAAGTGTTCCCATTTCTTGAAATATGTGAAGTACGTGCTGGTAGTATTTTTGCTGTGCGACTCAATAAAATAATACGGTAGCTTAAAGCGGGGTGGTCGTCGCGCAGCGCGTGATCGAATTTCATGTAAATAAACAATGTATTTTACACGCGTTGTATACCTCGCTACGAGTCCCATATCGAACAGGACGCGGCGCGACGACTGCCGCCTAAAGTCTCTGCAGCTCCGGGTTTGCCGAACCGCTGCCCACCGCTTCCTAAATGGATTTCGCCACGGTTACTAAGTAACCGTGATTTCGCTAAACTTAGACCTCAAAGAAAAATCGTCCAATTATAATTAATAACTCGTACACCCTGGCGTCTCTGATCCCAAACATTAAAAAAACGAACGTTTAACGCCACCAAAGCGAAAACTGAGTGCGTCGTTAAAAACGTCATTGCAGCTTTTTTAACCATCTACTTCACATTTACTCTACTTTTCAAAATTCCAAATATTTCCTGCATGCTCGGCGCATACCACTGGCGAAAACGAACAAATGTCAAGCAACGGAAACGTCTTCACAAGGAAATTTAAACTTGAACAGAAAAAAAGATTAACGTTCTTACAATCTAACGGTCGGCGCTTACCTACCTTATGTATAGCCACAGTCAGTGGTACTGGTAGTAAGCACGAAATAATTTAGAAAGTGCTTTGAAATGTAATATTTCTAAAAAACTGTTCTGGTAGTTGGGTCACATTTGCCGGAAATTATACATTGATACGTGTTTTCACGCTGTGGCTGCGATTTTTCCTGAGAGCATGTCTGTATATTATTTTTTCCCTATTTTTCTGAACTTTTTCTGAAATTTTTGATTTGAATTTTTTGTTCTCAGAAATCCTTCAGGCCCCCGATTTCAAATGGGTTACCCCTAATGTTTTTTAAATAACCCTGGAAGGTACCGGATGCCACTCCCTTGTATGGATTTTGCAAATAGTGGCCCTCGTCGAGCAAACACTCAGCGAACAAACTGAATATACGGGGTTGAAGTTAAATTAGCATTCAGATATTAGCATATTCGTACAGATCGCCCTCATAGGCTAGACGCGGAACTAGTAATGAATTGATATTGGCCAGTGAATACGAATCTAACGCACATAACATTTAGCATGGCTGACGTTCATGACGTTGTCAACAATCTCTCAGAGCTCTTTCTATCATGACATTAGCTCGTATTGAACTGTACAAAGAACCGCCAGTGAGGTTAGTAATTATGATACTTTATTTATTTACGTGTTCTTACTATATTTCCCGTATTTCTCTGCTGTTACGCTTATCTTATGTATTTTATGAGGTGCTGCTGGCGCTACCACAGTTCCATTGACTAGTGTTTAACTTTAATTCATCGAAAAGGAGGAGTGCTCGAGAAGTCCAGTAGACCATATACCATTTTTCGAAATGATACCCATTGAACAAGACAGGTCTTTAGTTCTAGTGAATTGTATGGATTAGAAATTATATACCATGGTCTTAAAATAACACATTTCTGTGAAACTCCGACTTCGGTGCTGCCGTCGTCACGGACA